CTTTGCAGCAACTTTGATGAGGTTTATGCCGCCATTATCCTCTTTTCTCTAAGACAGGTACAAGGATGCTCGAGGTTCCGTCATCGGGAACTAGTTCATCCCTTCCGCGCCTTCTTAATCAGTTCATTAAGCCAGGACGACAGATTGACACAGGGCTTGTACATTTCAACTAGAATATTCTAATCTCTGGACGCCTTGCTTTCTTGCAGCCTCCCTGTTTCGTTGGCTATTGCACCCTGAGAAGGGGAGCCACGTGACATTGCATAGGCTGGAGAGGGGCCGTCGAAGCTGAGGTGCACGAAGTGCATACCACAACGCACGACCCTGGTCGCCATCCATTTCTCAAACAGTACAGAGGGCTTACCATTAACTGGACCGATAATCTGGTAGTTTTCTATTGTCGCCGACGTTTGACACCCGATTCATGAGGTCACTACTTTAGCCCGTTATTTTTAGCGGCCACCTCTAACCGCAATCTGCGGAAAGGATAACCGTTTCGACAACTGACTCAAGCCATTTGTTAAGTTTTTCCGCCGACTCAGTCACTGCCACGTCGCTGCGTCAATCCAATGATTCTGGCAGCTACCCCGTGGCTTCAAGAATGGCCGTTTGCTACTATCTTTTCCTTCGACAGGAGCCGCAAAGCCGGACCTGTTTTTGTGCTCAGGATCTCGACTGTGTTGATTGTTATAGTTTTTGCGACACTAGGGCGTTTTGCACCTGAAATTATTGGGTTAGGATGAGAGGTAAATCTTCCGGAATGTACGAACGAAAACATGGTACTACCCATGCACATTGCCACTTTCGACACTACGCATCAATATACTATCATGAACTCGGCTACGGAATCGTTAACCGACTGGAATGTACCAGGTCTGACTTGTGCTGCCTTCGTTTTAATTCCAGGTCATCAAATGCTTGGGACGGTACTGAAAGCGCATCTTGGTGCAAAGCATTTGGTTATGGTTTAAGAAGTCCCGCATTCTGTCCCCATGGTTGCTTCGAAATCCAAACCCAAAGCGTCCAATAAGGTGGTCGTGGAGTCGCCTGGTCCAAATAAGCCATTTCAGTTCCTGACAGCAATCAACAAATGACCACGGGGGACTTTTTAAACTAAATTTTGCAGAAGCGCGTAGGGCTTTTTATTGCACTGACCGGTAGCTGTTGTTGATGCACAAACAGAAACGACAGAGATGTCATTTTGAAGCCAACCGACCAAGGACTGGTTCCCATGCGATCAATACATAGTTCGCTTGTTGTGGGAGGACAATAGTCACACCGTATCTGCCAAAAGTCGCGTGGGACCCTGTGGTATAGGGTTAAGTGGGAGTTGGCCGTCGCGACTTTGATTCCATCCCGCTCGATATGGGAATCCGGACTTCAGACAGGCAGCAGACCCATTCACGTTGTGGTGGAGACTACGCTCTGTCAAACTTGGGGTACCAGGTCCAGTAACCTTTGCGCATTCCATCATTCTATATCAAGAGTTCGTTTCCCGCTGAGTAGTTCCGCTCGCATACCATTCGGCCGCATCATTGAACTAGGGTTGTAGAGCGCGTCAAGTTCCCGCGAACGCCGTACATGAATCGTAGTACTTGAGCCAAACATTTTCACTAGGTTTCTTGGGATATTCGGGTGCAGGCGCGTTTCCAACAACCACCCGGGTTGTTTGAGATTATTTTCCCTAGGACGTTGACTCGAGTACCTAACGGAAGGGAAGCAATGTCTATCGAGTCTATTTGTCGTCGTCTCCCGGCCGCCATGTCAGTGCTTTTATCGGATTCTGGGGGTATTTTGCAGGGTTATCGGCGTGCCAGCACTCAGTTCTCCGCTACCTGGTAGCACTGTCGTGGTGCTTTACTGCAGCTTGCTCGTCGGCACTGAGAGTTTGCATATTTCTCAACTCTCGCTGAAGGCCTTTGTCCCCATTCACCACCCGTTGACGCCCTGGGCAGTCACAAGCCAGGCTAGAAGGCAACCTGTCTTCCTATGTAGACCCATTCTTTCACTTCACTTGGATCGGGCGCAGCATATGCCTTTAAAGATTGAGGCTGAGCTCTCAAACAGTGACCATGCAGGGTCCTAATAGTATCAAGGATAATCTATAATAGGTGTATTTTACTAATAACGGAGTCAATTTTAAAGCGTCTTCTAGGAAAAAGACTAGTATAGATACGGCGATAATGTGGTAGGAGTTGTAGCTGTGTGGGGGACGATGTTTTATAGCTACATCCGTGGATGGGTCTTCCAATTGCTTGGTGGATTCCTCAGTGTCCTTCAAACAAGACCTCGCAGGCAAAGGCCGCTGCGAGGGCACGAAAAGGGGACGTAGTCCTAGGAGCCGCCATAAGAGGAAAAGGCGGTGTACGGATCAACAATCAATACGAGGTTGGCGCAACCTACTGAAACATACCTACCATCTGAAAGAGAGAGAGAGAGAGAGGAAGATGGAGAGAGAGAGAGAGAGAGATCATGTACACTTATGCGTTGATTGCAAACTGTGCGTAGTGTCTGACTTCCGATCTCGCTCATGCATGTTAGAGGAACTTCATTGATCTCATTGACGCGCCTTTACTGCTTTTCTTCGGATGAGGTCTTTGTGCAAGGTACTCTTTTCCCATGTTTCCTTTCGTGGCATACTCACCGTCCTTAAATACAGGGCGTTTAATCGGAGACCAGATCTCCCGAAAAATCTCAGCGGACATCTGTCTGAAGTGAGTATATTTTGGTCCATTTTGGCTCCCCGCAATCAAAAGTGGTCATCTCGAAAACCCCGTCAACATGACAGTTTGAGTAGACGAAGGAAGGGCAGTTTCGGCGGCCACTGCAGTAGTTCGTCTAGGTTGTATAATCTTCTTACCATCTGCCCTGATTTACAATTTAAGCATCTTCCACATCGTCAACTATAGTGTAAAATTATCTACTCTACCACATAAGAAAGAACAATGCTATTTCGTGCTCCAGTCTGTGAACGAATAACATTTTTCCCACAACTGCGTCGTCTTTACTGAACATTTCAGATATCGCATAAAGTTCAGAACTAAACATGGCTAAGTTAACATAAAGAAAAAAGTAGTGCGGAGGTCTGTGTGCACTTGCTCTCTATGAACAGCCTGCGATGTCAACCAGGTAGGTGTTGACGGCCTCGTTTGAGTAAACTGTCTTCCGAATATGTGTGACGCCTGTCCATTGCCAAAACTGCCACGCGCAGCAAGGCAACGGGGTGTTCGGGCAACTAAATGTTTATGATTGATCTACTGGCCTTTGTCGTATGAAACAAAGTCTCTGCTAGGCTGGAGTATGGGGAATTTCTATGGTTTGTAACCTCCTACATGCTATCAAACCGCTGTAAGCTGCTCTTGTATCACATCTAGGGGGCGAGTCTTCATCAACCTTCTGCCTTCCTCCCTACCTATCCCTATTTATCCTCCGCTGGTTCAGAGGGCATTTGAGTTACAAGTCGTGAGAACCAGGTTCCTAGTTGACTGGAGTCTACGCCGATGATCATTGTATTTGTACTTAAATGATCATTGGCAGAGCGCCTGATTACCCTGTTAGTGTACAGTGGATTTTCCATATTTGCAGTCATTGTGAGATTGCAAACGTTTAGAATGTGTGCGAGTCCTAATAGAGCACCAGTAACAACGATTGTTGCTGTTCAATGCGAGGATGAGTAGATCATAAAGTGTTTTACAAGGCTGGTTGTAAGTAGTGTTGTGAAAGACGGTTTTTGTCAAAATTGTGCAATCAAACTCGTCTTTTTTAATAAAAGAACTTGGTGTCAACCTTCATCTGTCTTTGTCGCGAGCTCCATGCTCAGACTGCTCGTAGGCCGAAGAAACATTTTCTGGGGTCTTGTTGCATGCATTCGGTTTTGACCTTGTACAGATGATCATGTAGGCGAGTTGTTCGTGCACACTCGAGAAAGTCCTCCCGTCTCAACCAGCAACCAGGATCATGGGTAGCCGGGAGCGTCCTGAGCAGGCTATTCCTTTAGTGCCTGTAAGATAGCGGGGCTTAGTCAAGCTCTTTCAGCCTATTATACGGTAAATCCCTTAGACCATCGACCGCTTTCGTTAACCTACGCAGCACCTACTCGAGGAAGTCAGTGTCTTTCCTCATCCATGACCTCCAGACTGTCCGCAATCCAAATGGGGTCATACGAAGAAACCGAAGACTTTCCTGAAGAGTTCATGAGTAAATATTTTAGACGCATGCCCGATTCAGTGCAACATACTAGTTGCCTTCTGGATCAGATACTTGCGGCGTCCTGTTAGTACCAGATTCGCGATCGCCCGCATGCCCAGACCTTTGTACATTTCCACATCTTTTAATGCAATGCGGTTAATAAAGTACTTTTTTTCGGACATATTTATCGGTGAAGTCGCTCACATGAAACCGGAAAAGTAGTAGGCCTGAAGCAGAACTCTTCGGGACACCACTTCCAATATATACCAATTCCGAGGGGGAATTGTCGGCAACTCTACTCTAGATGACAGGCGACTTTCAATCAATTTGAGCATTCTGCCGCGAATTTCTGTTTCCCAAATCTTTTGTAGGGGAAAGCAGTTTGGTTCGCTATCTAAGGCTTTCCTGAAGTCAAAAGATACAATATCTACTGGATTTCCCTGTCTGCGACCTTTGTCCATTTCTCATGCGCAATATGCTGTTTTTCCCCAGATACTCCATTAGCTGCTCTTTGATAATACGCCCCATTATTTTGCATGTGATGCCTGTTCATTTTTCCTATTTTTTTCAGTCGGTAGCATCTTTCAGACCTCCAAAAAACTAGTAGGTCTCTGGCCAACCCTGTCTTCTAAAACTTATCGGATTTGTGCGGTTTACGGTTTACTATTCGAATTTCTAGAAAGACCTTTACCGATATCTCTGTTTACCTTTTAGGTTATTTATTGCCGGTCAAAATGGGGAAGGGATATAACAACTATATGTGCAAGAAGTTCTTCCATCCTACAAACTTCGATAACATCAAACGTAAGTGGATGGCTGAACAGAAGGATGAATTCGATAGCAAGCGAGAGCAGGAAAAGCTCACACAATATCGCAGAGAACAGGAAGTTTTGGAAAATAGAGTCCTCCTCGGTGACGAGAAGGCACGGTTAGGACTGGCCTGGATGTATGACCAACCAGCAATAATGGAGCCAGTATGTTACTTTCTTTTGCATCCCTTATAACTCCATTTAGGAAAAGGAACCCGAGAAGTCTGACGTCAAGTTCGAATGGCAGCGGAAGTACAATGCGCCGCGTGAAAGTTACTGTAAGAATTCTGCAGACGTAACAGACCAGCCATTCGGCATTGAGGTCAGAAACGTTCGGTGTATGCGCTGCAAGCAATGGGGACACTTGAACACAGATCGAATTTGCCCCCTATATGGTCAGTCATTTACACAGGAGCCCGTTGCCGGATGCTCTCGTGGGCTGGACTTCGCCAAGAAAAATCTTCGCCGGGAAGGTCTGGCCTTCAAGAAATCTACAGAAGCCACTGGCCTTAACGATATTGTGTACAAAGCCAAACAAGCGTGTAGTGGGAACAAGGATTTCGACCCAACGGCCGCCGAACATGATCTCACCGTGAAATTTCTCAAGTCCTTAACGGAAAGGCAGCGTGAAAAGCTCCTCAGCAAGTTGTCCAAACTGTCTAACAGTGACAGTTCTTCCCACAAGCATAAGAAAAAGCACTCTCGTTGAAGCTGCCCTTTGTTCTTTATGCACATAGTTCCCCTTCCCATTGTCACGTTTTATTTTACTTCTTCAATACAATGACTCGAAAATGCTTTGCGTCCATTTCTTCCTTTCACTACTGCCTAGGAATGCTAAAATGCGTGAGACTGAATCCTCCCAGCTACTGCCCACGACGCCCTTAGTTTTCGTCAATCCGTCCACGTCGTTCCATCGGAGCGTGTTCATGGGCTCTATTGTGGCTCTCTGATCCAACACATCCGTCTGAAACTGGTCTAGAATGCCTAGGACGTTGCGTCTGATGAAATTCGCGTTTGACGCCATTTGATGATACAGATGAGGTAAACGAGAAACGTGAATCTGTTTCTGCGAGCAACTTTGTCAGGTCGGTCGGGCCAATCAGAGGTCGCCTAAGTGGTTGTTCATAAGAATTACTGAAAGTCTAGTCTGACTGTGTTCGCATGGGTTTGCCTATTGCGGCCGTCTTGACCACTGTGATCCGTTAACTCTCGTTCCTCAGACTTCGACGCGTCATTTTATGTGTAATCTACTCCGGATGGAGGTTTGCGCTGCCGTATATCGGTGAATCCTTAAGATGCTAAGAATGGTGTGCCTACCGGATGCAACTTTTCTACCCCTCTTCCCACAGGAACTAGTAGGTATCGAGGCTGGTTGAGCAGACTTATCATTCGTAACAATAAAGTTTTATGATTAGTTGCCCAGTTTGGAGAATTGACACTTAACTCTTCTTTGCTTGGTGTTTGCTGAGCCAGTCAGTGACGCGGCCGTCACACAAACAGGGCTCATAGGTGATATTTTCATCCCTAGCCCTTCGCTACCCCCAGTTATAAGTTTGCTTGACTTGTGTCGGTACTGCTGATTATTAACGAGCGCGTCTTCCTTCGCACCGTACTTCTGCGTTTTCTACCTCTGAGTTACAGCGCTGGGCGCGGCCGTGTTGTCGAGTAGAAAACATCTTGGCTTCCATGTGTCCTGTTTGTTGGGGCTTGTGAGTCTGCTTACCGAATCTTGGACAGCGTGATTTCTAATAGTTTTGTAGCCTTGCGCACCTCAACTCGTCAGACCTCTGCAGCGTACTCGGCTCACTGCTACTTCTTGCTAACTGTTCGCAATGCGTGCGTTAACGATTCACAATTTATGGGGCCTGATTTCAAAATGAAGTTCGGGCATTCCATTGTAAATCGGGGTTCCTCCTCCGGACATCACATCCGGACCCAATCACATGCTCACCCCAAGTTACCTCAGGCAGTAACCCTGTGCCATTTTGTTTACACTAGCGCTAGCGAGTCACCTCGGCGAGTTGTGCTGACTCTCCTAATTACCCGATGATGCCTACTTTTTTCCATGAACGGGGCCTTGGCTGTTCACCGTCTCATAAGCCGATATAATTTCTCAGTCTGCGGCCTTTGCCCTCTGTGCGTCAAAAATTTACCTCCTCTGAACTTTACCTGTTTTAGGTGTATTTTGCTTTCTCTGACAATTAACAACAACGTTTACCTCTAGATAGTCTGGAACAAGATGAAACATTTAAAATTCACACACAGAAGTAAGCAAACATTATCTTTGCAACTAATCAAAGCACACGTTCTGCACTCGCTGGAGGGGGGAGGAGGGCAAAGTCTGTGCTAGGCAGGCAACTAAACAGAAACTGAGAAGCAGTAACACGAATGTCTCAATGGGAAAGGGGAGTGTCCCGTATGCCCAATGTCATTGGTTTCATTAGTTGTCAAACAAATGAGTGAACTGAAGACGCCGATTGGCCACCTCACTTCTGCGCGTGTCCGAAGACCCGAAATAGCTCACACAAGCGGGGAGGCTGAAAGGGGAGGGCGTGAGCTGTCGCTTATCCCCCTGCCTTGTCCCTGTAGACCAAGCAGTCTAGGCCAAATCGTACCAATAGCTAGTTTCGCTGCCTCCACTCCCGGTGGATGTTGTACTCGAACTTCGACCAGAGGTAAGGAAGAGGGAAGATGAGGTTGAGGAGGTGCTACAAGAGGAATGGCTTTGGAATGTTTGCATACCGGTGGATGATGACGACCGACTCGATGGCGAAGACCTAGAAAAGCTGATCTTGACGTCCTTTCGTCTCACTCCATGCGGCCAATAGTCCTGCGGCTCAGGCCACGTCGGCAGTTGTTGTGGCTGGGGCAGCACCTCAGTTGTTATTAAGGGCACCTGGTTCCACTGTGGGGGCGGTAACTGCGGCATCCACTGGAGTTGAGGTTGATAGTTCCAAGGTGGCAGTGCTTGAGGAGCATATGGTGGTAACGCGTACGCTACCGGGGGCTGTAGAATGACCGGTGGTGGCATGTGATTACAGGATCCCCACATGGGGGTATTCGAACAACACATGCACACAGCCTTCTGGTGTGTCCCTGCAAAGAATGGCAGGGGGTTGCACCCGGAGCAGGCTGTTTGGAGAGTAGAAGTATCGCAACTGACGTCTGTAGCCTGGCTATCCAATTTAGCGTTCTTGTCAGTCTTTCTTTCTCCCTCGCTTGTGCTGCTAGAGTCACCCTTTACTGTGGGAGTCTGCACTCGCAGCTCAGGTATTGACTTCACAGCATCCACATTGCTTTTTGTGAGAGGCCGGCCTTCCGCGTTACACTCTCCGCCTCCTCCACCTGGTACCGAATTGTTTCGCTCTATCCCACTCAACTTGGCCAACTGTGCATTGGTTTCAGCCTCAGGCGTCACGGGAACAAAAACCCGGGTCTTGGTTTGGGAGGCTGGTCGGGTGGATGGTACGCGTTCCAGAGTGGGCGCATTTGGGTCGAACATAGCTTTAGTGGAACCACAGAAGAGGAGTTCACCCAACTGGGAAGAGTCGTTTTGGGTGATACGTCGTTGCTGCTCCTTGCGGTCTTTGAGGGCGTTCTCAGTCATGGCCAGCAGCTCTTTCCGCTCCTCCTCAATCTTGCTCTGTTGTCGGAGCCTCCGTCGTTCTTTGAAGTCAACAATGGGGGCCCCAGTCATTTGAGTTATGGCTTCGGAGGCTGTCAGCGGCTGCATATCTTTGCCAGCGACTTCACACTCTTCCATTAGCTTTTCTTGTTTACAAGACTTCAGCTTTTCTTCCGCCTCTTTAACCTTCCGCAAATTCTCCAAAATATCTGACACCGAGGGCGTTTTCGTTGACGTGGCCGGTGACTGCTTCGGTAGAGTTGGAGCAGTGGTTGTTTTCTCCAGAGGTTTATTCTTCCTCCTTCGAGGTCGTGTTTGCACACTGTTGGAAGGATTTTCGGCCTCATCTCTTATACGATCCCAGGAGTAGGAAGGAGTTGGCAGACTAGGCACTCCTATGCCAAGTTCCCTAGCCTCGCGTAGCTGCGCCAGTAACGTCTGAGGCTTTTGCGGTGCCCCGGGAAGTGCGTAGTCCTGGGCTGAAATACGTTCACTGCTGTCTATATTCCCAACTGGCAAAACTTTCTCCGTTGTTGCCTCTTCAAGTTTCCCACAGAGGACACTGTTATTGTTATTTGTTTGTGAAAGTACTGATTTTAGTTCGTCAAGTATTCCAAACTCAGTCTGAAAGGTCCTTTGAGGTCTTGCAGACGTCCTTGACTTCTGCATTCTGTCTCCGCGGTACTCGGAATGACCTGTCTGGTCCACGCACATGTAATCTTCGTCATCAATCACCACGTGGGTTACACCTGTATGACAGCAATCACTGAACAATGATTCAGGCGCCGCTACTCGGTCGGAATCTGGTAGGTAGGTAGCCCTTCCTGCATGACAGCCACCGTCCGGTCCAGTGGTTCTGTCTCGGGACCCCTCCAATATTGTGGACGGGCGACTTGTGTGGGCATAGCTTGCCTGTTTCTGTAGTGTAGGGGTTTCGAAACCAGAACTAATTCCCAAGCTTGTCTGGTCTCCACCAAAGGACACCTCACACGAAATATTGGGACTTGATTCTGCATGTCCTTCGTTGCTGGAAGTCTGAAGGGAAGCGCTTTCAACAAAGGGTATGTATCTGGATAAGTTATTTCTCCCTCCGTTGCGGAGAGTTTGGCATCGACTTCTGATCTGCTGCCAAGTTATTTTTGCGACATTGTCACCGGTATGATCCTCCCCTGCCTCCCTTTCCTGTATAGCTGGCCCTGGTGGCACTGCTAGTGCCAAAGCCTTGAGCGCTTCTTTTGGTCGCTGCCGTGGAGTTGCATAATGGAAATTGGCCCTGCCATGGTGGACAATCTTCGCTCTAAATAGTCCACTAAAGGGCAGAGAAGCCAGCTCATTTTCAGAGCTCATTTCTGACAGTCCCCTTTCGTTGTCTTCCCTCCCGGAGGTAATGTCGGTGCCTGCTAACACACCCGTCTTATGGGTCTTTTTGCGGTTCAGTGAAATAGCGGACCAGTCTATCCACAGACCTCCTCGTGTGAGCAGCTGGCCGCGATCCAGTCTACCCTCTCCGTTGCAGCAGTTTGTCTGTACTATGGAACCCTGGTCCCGACACACAAGACCAATTCGCTGAAGTGGGTTTGCCGTCTGGGCAATATCCCCCAGTCCGATAGTGGAGTGCTCAGAAAGGTGCATTTGTGCGTAGCAGGGCGTCACTTCACTCAGCGGTGACCATCTGTCAACCACAGATGTTTCACTTATGCTTTTCTGTTTTGCTTTAAACGCCTCAAGACTCATCGACGGCGTGGAGCCTACAGCTTCTGCGTCTTCTGCCTGAATATCTACGTCAGTTGCCAGCCTGTTACTGACAGCCAGGGAGTAGGAGCGGCTGTCGTCAGTGGACAGCACCTCCGGCAGGGCCGCCTGTTGTTCAAAGTCTGGCGACCCGTAGCCCGAGCCCATCTCACTGAAACTGACGGTGTCTGTCTGTTGGTAGGGTGAGGTGAGTACCTTTGGGCGTCTCATTTTCTTAATCTCCTCGTCCGGCATGAGATCGCACTCCAGGGCTACCTTAATGTCCATCGACGGTTGACCCGCAAAATTGCTTTTCTCCAGCTCAGCGGGTCCTTGCTCCCGTTCAGTCAGTTCCCTTTTTACATGTGTGGTGCCGACTGGTGCACGTGCCATGGAATTGTAGGCCAACCTTGGTGTCGCAGCGTAGGCGCCGCTTTCAATTAATTTTACTTGAGATAGGGTGCCATCAGAAATATGCTCAGAATAGGTGATGGTTTTTACGCCGGCGTCTTGAGGAGCTGACCTTACGCTAGATTCTGCGGATGCCGGCATCATCATCACCATGGGGCTGGGTAGCAAAGGGTTTGAATACTCAGAATCCGTGACCGGTTGCTCCTGTTGAGAGGGCGTTGTGCGCACAGGGTTCAGCAGTTTTTTCCCAATTTCACAATCGCCCTGCTGTTTCGGACTTCGCTTCCGACGAGCCCGCATAGAACACATTCGAAGGAGAAAGCCAAATCCACAAAACCTCCATGTGTTCCCCTTCCGCTTTTCTTCGGTTGATACTGAACTATCTTCAGGAGGTAGCAGATCCTTCCGATCAGTGGCAGAAACGTTGGTCTGTGGTGGGGAAAAAATTAGCGATCTCCCAATGTCGAATTCGCAACAGGTTTCCTGTGTTGTGGGTTTGACCGTTTCAATGTGACCTGCCTCCACAGGGCAGCACTGAGGCTCGAGTCCAACTAGTTCCTCATAGGAACCGACCTCTGCTTCCTTAATCTCCCCCTTGGAAATTATTCGCACTGCTGTGTTTGACGCCTGTACGTTTACCGGCGCTTGAATACTGACGCTTAATCTCGGCTCCACAGATTGTATGGGAACCAACTCATTTATCTTGAAATTGTCCGTCGCCATTGAGGAGTCGCCACGCATAAAATCTGCAAGACTGACCGATTTTGTCAGTTCTATTTCGCCGTCTAGGTCTGTAAAGTCTATTGGTCTCACCTTCTTCTGATCACCCTCCATAAATTCATAACTGGCTTCGCCTTCTACGGAATGTTGCACCCTGTGCCACTCTTCAGGTTGTTCAACTGTCGTGCGTTTCCGTACCACTTTATCAGATTGTTTGATTGGTTTCCTCGGAGGCAGCCCAGTACAGGTATATCCGCACGGATTGGCATTGGCAGATAGGTGGGGACCCGACGGAGCCAACTTTTGACCCCCTGTACACCCTGACGTTTGGTGCCCCGACAGAGCCTTTAAGATCCCACTTTTCCGGACCTTTTTAACGTAATTGTTATCGCCATCTTCTCCGTCGCCTGTTGCTGGGATGTTACTATATTTTTCCTTTGCGTTTGGAAATTGTGTTTCCGCCACTTCGTATTCTACGAACGATCTTCCCTGGTCGTCTGAAATCTCGTCCAAATTGGCAGCTGTAGCTTGCGTGTCCTCTGAAATAGATTTTCGGCTCTGCTTTACTTGGCTTTCCTTAAGCTTCCTCTGTAGTCGCCTGCGTTCTCGGAGGGTAATAGTGATTGCACCGTCCAACTTCGAGCCAACCGTAATACGCCTTTTGTGGAGGTTGTTCATACGAAGTTCGTATGCACGATTTGCCCGGGCACTCAACATTTCATCAGATGCCTCAATCATTCATACCCTTTTCCATTCTCCTCGCCGCCGTTGTTTTGACCAGTTTGTTCAAGGTTGCTTAGTGTCGTTTCCCCACGTACTTCCCCGCAATTTGATTGGTCGGTCCAGAAAATCAATAATGCGTCTTTTCCACGCCGAACTGAGGCTCAAACTAACACACTGCAGTACCGGCGACAATGGCGGATGCGATACTCGTGTTTCTACATCTAAATGACGCCAACCATTTCTAAAGACCCTACCGCGATGTAGACGTCGCAACTATAATGGCCGCGCATGCTCTACAAAGATAACGTCAATTGTGGAATAACGATTTGCAGTGTAATCATTAACCATTTCCGGGTACCAAAGGTGAGTATACGTGCGTACTTACTTTAGACCATGGTTTCAAAGTCTTTCTGTAGAGTTACTTTTATTCTAACGTTTATTCGGAAGCTGCTGTGGCGTTCCACGCAGTCGATTGCAGCGGATGGCAGTTCGACCGTCACATCCGACGATGTCCACCGTGTGCTTCACAGCAAGGTAAAGCAGGCACTGCAACTTGTACGTGAATTATGTTTTAGTGAGTGCAGTCTTGCGCTGCGTCTACCGCACGGAGCGGCGACGCTGACTTGTGACTGAGTTAGTTTAAACTGATAGTGGACTTGCACGGCACCTACCGCACTCTCCCTCTTCCCCACTCCCCACCTGGACCGGGTTTCAAGACAGAGTCAGGAAGACTGGAGGCGGGTTAGGGCGCAGGTGGATGGCGCAGCCGAGCTCGCATCTTGGCGCTGCGCTCCACACTTCCTGATCCACACAACAACATCACGACGGGTCAGAAGGAGGATGACTGGGCGGCCATGCTTACAACCCAGCGGGAACGCAAACTCATCTACCGGCGGTGAAAGAGGCGTCAGAGAACTGCCAGCGCATACCATCCTGCGGGAGCCATTGTTTGCTGTTACTGACATAACGGACGATCACAAACCTTTAGGCGACACGTAGCCCTGCATTTTCCTGGGCCGTCACGCCTCGAGGCTTGGTCATCGACTGAAAGGCACTATCCATAAAGCACACACATTCCTCACATGCGTGAGAGTGTCACAGGCCAGTTAAGACAGGCTGGTTCTCAGCCTACCAGTCCGCCACTCCACACAAACACACACAACTGGGCAGACTGTGTGAACTGCGTTAAAACATCAGTCGGCAGCCTTTTATGCCACGGCGCTTGGGGCACCGTGACAGTATCAGACTCGGATCACACATGCAGCCGCGTGGAGAGGAAGCCGAGAAGCACACTTCGCATTTGCGTGGAGGTGGCAATTGGGTGCTTGTGATGGGTGGTGGCGTTGGGAGGCGTGGGGGATGGTGGGGGAGAGTGCGACGTGGTGTAGCCGGCGGTTGTCTACCGCATGTTTTCGTGTGTCTTAATGGGCCCATGCGGTGAGTGAATGTGCGGTTGCAGTGGGGGCAATTGAGGCGGATGCTGCGAGCGTAGATTGGCGCTCCAGACACTGATTCACCAGTCTCCGTGCGACGGATCGCAAGTGACCGACCAGAATGATGTGCGAGTGAATGTGCGATTGCAATGAGGACAGGTATGAATCGAGCTCACATCGCTGATGGTGGTGATGTTAGCGATGTTTGAAGTAGGTGAGACGTCGCCCCATCGGGGGGGGGGGAGTGCGCGAAGACGTGGTGGTGGCGGTGCTGGCCGCTGCGGTCAATGCAGCGTTTGGGGCAGGGTGTATGGTGGCGGCGGGACAGCAACAGTGTTATTGGTGGTCGGCGCGGGGTTTGCGGCAGGGACGAGAGCGGCAGAAGAGATAAACGTTCAGAAGATGAAGATGCGATCACTGGGACAAGAAGTTTTATTATTTATTTTATTTATTTGTCAGATTGGTGGCGCTCTGGATCCGAAGGTGTTCAACGAGATCGATTCGTCCGCAGAATGCGCGCTGGCAGCGGGACATGTTGGAAGCGGAGGATGGTTGGCAATAAAGAGGCCAGGCACTTGTGATCTGTGAGCCTCTCGTTTGAATTTGGTGACGGCGATCTGGCTTGCTTCATAGACGGCAGCGTCGGTTCTTACTTGTCTTCTCCAGTCGGTCTGTTCTGGGCGAGGTCCTCCCAGGTCTTCTGGATTGATATACAATCGTTTAAGAAAATTTTCAATGTGTCCTTGAGGCGGATACCCGCCTTTTGAGCAACAATGGGCTCCTCAGTCACCCGATAACTTCCGTCCTGCACTTCGGAGATTTGACTTCGGTGCTGGCATCTGTGACAGGAGCGGAAAGCATGCTTGAAATCAATCTCAGTACTGACTCCAAGTTGTTGCAAGAAACCTGATTTCGCAGTAAGGAAAGTGTTCATTCTCCTAAACTGGAACTGAATGTCCTACCAAAGTAAGTACCTGAAACTGCACGCAGACCACGGACCTGGCCTGACTGCGGGCCAGGATACGGACCTCACTATCTTGAGCTTTCCTAACCTGCTCTTTGGGTATGGCAGGTATTGCTGTCCGGCTGGCGACACAAAATAACCTAGAAATGGCCAACCAGATCTTCCTTATATTTGCAGACAACACCCATGGCCTATCTTTTTTTTACCTATGACTTTCATGACGACTCTAGTCGGCTACATGTCCATTGCAGTGGGAATAGGCAATCAATGCCAGCGGCCCGGCCCATTTCACCCACAGTGTATCTGCGGATTGTGGATTCGTATGCATTTATTCTATCATGGACGCATCTACGAAGGTCCAGGCATAAAATAGCCTGGTGATGATGCTTGTCGATTCGTTATTAACAGACTACTTATCCAGTGTGTAGCTGTTTGTCTGTGGCACGCTTTGGACTGCGGCTTTGCGCTACGTCAGCTTTGTTTCACCTCCAGTCGGCCTGACCCTGACTTGCCATCGGTATGGAGGAGGGAAAGGAGAGTGGAGTCGACCCGACTCGGCTTCAGCGCTTAGTTTCCTCACCGTTAACATCATACATGCCTTTACTTTGTCTCACGTTAATATTCTTGACCTGTTAGATTGCAAACTGACAGGATAACCCGATTGTCTTGCAATATCTTCTTCTAAATGAGACCTTTTTGGTAACTCCTCTCAACACCCCAACTGAGCCCAATTGAGCACGACGGAATTATTCTGCGCTCCAACTGGGACAATTTCGACTTGGATACCATCCCACAGTTACAGTCTCTGACATTGATACTGGAACCGTACGTACAGACTAACTTTGTGCATTTTTGGAATATTTTTTCACGCATCGAAATTCGCCTGGAACCTGGATTAAGTGCAGTTTGTTTATCAGCACGGTCCAACTGACAACGCAACTGGCTACGCAACCGATTCACGGTATACAGCCTAGAAAACCAACCGCTCAAAATCCTTCAAGGTCTGCAGTTATTCAAGTCCCACGAGATCTGGAAAGGGCTAAGTCGCTTCTGATTAAATTCAACAAAATTTATCGGATTTTAAGTATTTTTTCGCTTATTGAGTTTTGAATACTCACTTTAATTCATCATATATAAGCGGACGTATTCGTTATAACATCGAAAGCGGAATTATACCTATTATATCACGTCGAAGTTTATGGATTCTCAGCAGGCTAACTGTAGTAGTACGGCCAGCGACGACACCTCTTTGGAAGATAAGTCCGGTGAGTTGTCCTTCGCATCCAGACCCTGTGCTCGCTCAACCTTCGCCTCCAGCCAACGACCAGCAAAGCGTGCAAAAAGCGTAAATACCGCAAAAAGTGTGAGGTACGAAGACGAGCCTTGTGCTGGGTGCGCAGATATTCAAATCAAAGTAGAACAACTGGAATAGGAGCTTGCTGATTTAAGGACGCTCGTGCAACAGACCGTAGTCGGCCAGAACGTGTCCAGTGTTAGTATCTCAAAAACGAAGAGCAAAACGCAAAAAACGCGAAAAAATATCTCCTCGGGGGTATCTTCAAACACGAGTAGCAACTCAACAGCCAAAACCGCAGACGCCGGTAACAGCAGGAGAATGAAAACGAAGCCGCCGATAAAGGGAGACTCGATTCCCACGCACGATGTCTTGAGCGATGTCGCAAAAAAATTACCTATCGCGGAATCCATGTCACCTAAGCCTCTTGCTGTAAGTGATGGGATTTCTGTTCTGCCTGGAGACGATATACCTGGGTCATCCAGTCTACTCTTGCCCTCTTGTTCTGGCAACCACCCCGAGCGCACTACAGAGCACGTATCTGAATGTGAAGGCATAAACCAGTGGGTAGAGGGGAGAGGGAAACGCCATGACAGGATTCTGAAGTCCCAGCCAGCCCTGATGGGTTGCTCGGGACAGTCGGTAGACAGTAAAAGTGTGCGTCCAAGCGATGACTCCGTAAATCGTCCTCGCCCACATG